TCTCTCTCTCTGTCTCTCTCTCTTTCTCTTTCTCTTTCTTTTTCTCTCTCTCTTTCTCTTTCTCTTTCTCTTTCTCTTTCTCTTTCTCTTTCTCTTTCTCTTTCTCTTTCTCTTTCTCTTTCTCTTTCTCTTTCTCTTTCTCTTTCTCTTTCTCTTTCTCTTTCTGTTTCTCTTTCTCTTTCTCTTTCTCTTTCTCTTTCTCTTTCTCTTTCTCTTTCTCTTTCTCTTTCTCTTTCTCTTTCTCTTTCTCTTTCTCTCTTTGTCTTTCTTTTTTTCCTTTCTCTCTCCTTCTTTCTTTCTCTCTCCCTCTCTCTTTCACTCTCTTTCTTCTTCTTCCTCTCCTCTCGTCTCCTCTCTTCTCTTGTCTCCTCTCCTCTCTTCTCTTCTCTTCTCTTCTCTTCCCTTATCTTCTCTTCTCTCCTCTCCTCCCCTCCCCTCCCCTCCCCTCCCTTCTTTTCCGCTCCCCCTGTCCCTCTCCCTCTCCCTCTCCTTCTCCCTCTCCCTCTCCCTCCCTCTCCCTCTTGTGGAATGGCGGTGCGAGCAGTGCCTGGATTGATGGCCACAGCGCCAGCTGCGCATCCGGGTGGGGTGCGCTGAGCCACAAGGCGGCGTTGCCACCTGATACGGGAATCCGGCCATGAAGTATGAGGCAATGGAACAGGATGCAAGACCTTAGTCCGATCCTTCCCTCCTCCCTCCCTCCTCCCTCCTCCCTCCTCCCTCCGAGGCCTGGGGCCTGGGGCCTGGGGCCTCCTCCTTCCCTCCTCTTTCTTCCATCCTTCTCTCCTCCTCCCTCCTCCCTCCTCCCTCCTCCCTCCTCCCTCCTCCCTCCTCCCTCCTCTCCTTCCTCCCTCCCTCCTCCCTCCTCCCTCCTCCCTCCTCCCTCCTCCTCCCTCCCTCCTCCTCCTCCCTCCTCCCTCCTCCCTCCTCCCTCCTCCCCTCCTCTCCTCCCTCCTCCTCCCCCTCCTCCTCTCCTCCTCCTCCTCCTCCCTCCTCCCTCCTCCCTCCTCCCTCCTCCCTCATCTTCTTATTTCGCAAAGCTTCTTTCACGTGGCGTGAGCATTTCACGCGGCGCAACGACAAAAGCCCGAACCGCCCATTTACAGCAAGGCCTTGCACCAGCTTTTTTTCTCGGCCGTTTCATTTGCGTCGCTCGAACGAGGCGCCCGTTGAGAGGCGCAAGGCCTAAGCCCGCGACGTCATTCCGCCGCCTGGAAGTGAGCGCAGTAGACCCGACCAATGCTGGACATCTTCGCAAATAATGGTCTGGAGCTGCAGGAGGTGGTGAGCAAGCGCCTGTAAAAGGTGCTGAGCAAGCGCCTGTAGTGGGGTGCTGAGCAAGCGCTTGTACGTATGGCTCACGACGCCGGGCCAACAACAGTAGCCTGCAGAAGGCTGGTGCCCTGGCTCGGCTCAAGATGCTGACGGGATTTCCAATCAGGCACGTGCCCCACTGTGGCACTTAGCGCACTAGTTGCGCTGAAAGGCTGTCCAGCCATTCCCTGCCAGCCTCGGCGCCTCTTTGCCAATTCCACCGTGACCTTGCCGAACAGAGACAGCAATCGCACTCTTGAACCAAGCTTATTGCTCAATTCCGCGGCGCCATCGTCTCTGAAGACAAACGTATCTTACGCAACTTGATGTTGCAACGCCTCACTTGATACGGGGGTCGTCGTGTGACAGTGTTGCGACTCTTCCCATTGACACGACGATGAGTTGAACCAAAGAAAAACCCACGAGCCGTCACCCATGCACCAGTCATTTTTGATATTGCGACGGGCAGAGAGGCTGAACCGGATGTTTTCTCATGTCCTTCGTCGTGAATCAGAAAGGCAGCAATTCAATGTCTTTACAGATGGATCAAGCGAATTGTGTGATGAGTCGACTCAATCAATCGCGCATCCTTCCTACGCGGAGGCAAGCCAAATATCCTGTTGATGACGATCTTTCCGAAGCACGGCAAGACGAGGTTTGAGTTGGCGTGACACGACCGAATATTTTTGGGGAGAAGAGAGAAGAAGCAGATCGCACCTTGACATCGATGGACCTGCGCGTGAGACGCAGGAGGACATGGAAGAAAAAGGGGCCTGAGAAAGATCTCAATGATTGCAGCTACGCATTCCAGGAGTGCAAAGTCTCAGCCATGGACCGCTTCAAGAACCTCAATGCTGGGATGCTCATGAATGGAGCCTGTGATTCCGACTTGGCCTGGTCAGCATCAAACCCAACAAGCCATGTCAGAAATGAAGATTGAGTTACAGATATCATCTCTGATGTGAGCGGGTCAGTTTTTTGACACCACTTTGTATGTCCCAAGGATCAGCGCGCATATCTTTTCAGAACGTACATGGCTATTGCGAGCAATCTGATGCTGAAGGTCAGAAGAACTTTGGGTCGTTTTGCGCTTGTTTTTTCAACTGACTTGACCTTCATGCAATTTTGTACACAATGCTACTAAGTATTTCGGCCCACGGCCCTTCTTGGGTACATATTTCTCAGAGTGTGCAAAAGAACCCAAGTTGCTTGCACTCACAGGCTGGAGATCAGGATGCGCAGAATGCAAATTGAATTTCCTCAGCCGCCATGTCCCTTTACTCTCTCAGTCCTTTGCTGAACCCTGTGAATTGTAGACCCGGACGAGCTCTCTGACGATATGTTTCCGCATTCCACTTGCGCTCAGCTGCTTGGATGGTGGTAGGTCGAATGTTCCTAGGTCTAGGTTTTGTTCACGGTGACTTTCTTTCCACAAACTGCACCATACTTGGGACCTGGAGAAATACACCAGAATCAGATGCAAGGGGCAGATGCGCGGGGTTGGCACCTAAAGTGGTCAGCCAGAGCGTTCCCCCAAACTTTGGCAGATGCCAAGGAGCATTTCCGCACCTCTGCGCCGGCAGCGGCAGTGGTGGCCGCGTTGGTGAAAGCGAAAGCGAGAGAAAAGTGCCTTTTCTTAGAGATTCACGCTTGGGGCAGTTTTTGGATGCTTCCTGTTTTGATTCAGGGTTGGGATTTTCTTTGGAGTTTTCCTTTTGCAATTCCTTTTAGAGCAACCCCAAAAAGGGTGCCCTCCACAAAAGGCACACCCAGATGGAACTCAAGACGGACATTCCGAAATTGACTCCCATGCATATCAAGGGAAGCTTTGCTCGCCCCTCCAGCTGTTGACCGCAAGACCGAGCGATGTGAGGTAGGCCATACCATGATCGCAAGAAATGAAAGATGTTGATACAGAACACATAACACACGGATGGATTACCCTGCCCGGATTCAAACGAATTTGACAAATGCACATAGAACAACAACATACACAAAAAGTAACCTCGCAATAGAATAGAATAGAACAAGATCGTGCAGGTTGAGTCTATTTTTCCACGATATAATATGATGCGACATGTTCCAAGACAATGTAATATGCCAAACAATAACGCACGACACCACACCATGCTATACTGTCCTATCCATATGTACCAAAGCGCGAAGTCGGCTGCCCCATGGCAGGCACTCAAAGGGCTTCTCATGCAGCCCTTTGAGGCGGGAGGAGGGTTGTGGGCGGCTTGTCTTTTGGGTTGGTGCCCGATTTTGGTCTGCTTTAAAGCGAAACCAAAAGGAAGCCCGCTAAATCAGTTTGGGGGGGTCTGAACCCTAACAAGATACCCATGTTACCCCTTGGTGGTTTGGAGTGGGATGGGACACCACCCCAAGGAACACCGAAGCACCAATTAAGGAACGGGACAGTTGCGGCAATTCATGCCTGCGAGTGTTTGATGCATGTGCCAGCCACTGTTTGATTCTGCAGGCATTCGGCTCAATGAACGGTTTTGCGGAATTTTGCAGCCACAAAAGAGCGCAACTGCAGAGTGACGGCCAGTTTCCACCATGGTATGCTTTCAGAGATATCAGCAAGCTGGACCTTTAGCCTTTTCGGAAATGGCTGGCCGGCTTTTCAGTTGGAGCCTTAGTCATATGCTGATTCAGAGCCACAAAGGAGGCTATTGGGCTAGTGGCGACTCTTGCGCATAATCTCCATTGGGCCATAAGGGGCCATCATGGGACACCCTCCCATAGTTCTCCTTGCGAAGTCGGCTCTGAATCAGCGAACCTCTCCAGCGAAAAGCGCCGCATGCCTAGCTCCAAGGATACGCCGTGGCTTTGGCCACGATCCTGGCAACGTGCCGGAATTTGGCGCATCATTTCTCCGCGGGTTCTTCCATTTTTATTTTATTGTCTTTTTGTTTTTCTTGGGGGGGGGAGGGGTTCACAGGTCGAAGAGCCATTTGGGTGTGTCTTTTTTTAGAAGACCCCCCACAAAAAAATAGGGGTAAAACAAACCATTGATTTTCCTTTGACACCACCAAAAAGGGTACCTCAAAAAAGGACAAGGCCACCCTCTATTCACAATTTAGCACCTGTGTGTGTGTGTTGCCAATGCAATGGGTTGGTTGCTCCCGATGTGAGGAAGCCACTTCCAGCAACGTGACGCTCAGTGAGCGGAACTTGCGCGAGTTCAAGGCACCGCCACTGATGCGGGGCATGTTTCTTCAGCGGACTGAAACAAGATTGCAGCATGGGCTTGGCCTGATTTCTGGCACGTCTTGTCCCAAAACCACACATGTTCTAGCAGCACCCACAAAATCTGGTTTTCTCAGATCCAACTTGCACTTCACGACGAAAAATGGCTCCAGCGACAAAGAACCTCGGGGGATAAACCTGCCTTGGCCAGGTCAATGCCAAGCTTCCGGCGCCCGCGCACCTGCAGAACCTCAAGGAGACTGCAGACAAGATCGCGGGCATCCAAGAGGCGCCGTGGGAAGGCCTAAGGCCCGTTTTCTTAGGTGAAATAGGTGCCAAGTGGGGTTGGGGTTGGTGGGGGTACCTTCAAACCAGAATTTGGTCATTCTAGCGGCAAACTGATAGCAATCATTTGGCCCCTTAGATTAGCGAAGTTTGAGAAAGTGCAAAGACGGCCGTGGCCAACTTACCGTTTCAAGTAGCAGCACGCGCCTTTGCATCGAAGTTGCTACAGGAGCTCCCCATTTTTCCCACTTGACTCAGCTTCTGAAAAGGCACTTGGAATCACGGACCAGTGTAGTGACAATAGTTTTCATGTGAACCACCCTCAACTCCAGCACAGCCTTTTTCAGACCCGCACGTGCATTGAGCATCTCACCGCCAGAAGCTGCGCGGCGAGTACCTGAAGAACAAAGGCATCCACAATGCCACTCGAAATACCAGTTGAACTTGAGAGAGACATGCTGCCTTGTTCGCAACAGCGAATGAGTCCCACCAAGCACCGGTGGCAAAATGCAGTACAACCAACACCTGGGTGCCTTGCAAGCAACGTTGGGTGTTTTTTCACAAACACGTTCGCCGCAGGGCCTTTAGAACCCATAGCCTGCTTCTGTTGCGCGGAGTGCAACATATGCGGGAACGTGATCATTTTTGACCGACCGTTTGGTGGACTCTGCAAGCAGGAAGTCTCTTTGTGAAACCAACTCGGAGGGGGCTAGTGATCTTGTTTTCCCAAGCAAACATCTTGAATGAGACCCTGAACCTTTTGACGGCCATTCGGGCCCACTGATGGTTTCGTGGTTGTGTTCTGGAGGGCCACGTGGGCATGTGGCCAACCGCTTTTCTAAGATGGCCATTGCACCGGTGCAAAAATCTGTGTGTATTATTTTGCTGCCGTCCCCCCTCCCGTTTTGTTGCTTCTTAGACACGATGCCTCGCTGCCTCGGCCCCACCTCGAACCCCCCTTCGAGGTTGATAGGGGGTCCCGCTTTTGATTCATTCTGAGTCCAACATGTATATGGCCGCGCTTGGTGAGGTAGAAGGTAAATGGTATACTGTGAGCACAGCCAGCAAGCGTATAAGGACCTTTTCCTGTACGCTGGGATCCTAATACCTTTTTTTTTCCGGTAGCTCTTGAAGATGGAACGGTCTGGAGAATTGGCTAGTTGTTAGGATATTTCTTCATGCCACATCGACAGAAGCGAGGAGATCAGAATGGACGACTTCTTCCCAGTCCAGGCTTAAGCCAAGTTGGACTTCCAGGTCATGGATTGTGACTGAGTCAACAAGACGAGAAACCACCCTCTGCCTCCCCCCCTCTCCCCACGAGACGGACAACCCTCTGCCTCTCTCCGTCTCCTCCCCCTCCCCCCCCTCTCCCCTCCCCTCCCCTCCCTTTCCCCACGTCTCCCCCCCACTCCCCCCGTGGTTTCTTCTGCAAAGCGCTTCGGCGGTTTTTTGATTTGCGAGGTGCACCACTCCGACGCGAGGCAGGCGGAGATCGCGCAGTGCGTCTTCTCAGCGCTGCTGGCGTCCCACCAGCTGGCCTCGGCGCCTCCGGCGGAGTCGGGGGATGATCGAATGGGTCAGTGGGTGGGGCGTTTCGGGTGGGGTGGGGTGTATGTGCTGGGGGTTTTCGGTGGGGTTGGGGGGTGGTTGGGTGGGGTGGTTGGTGGGGGTGGTTGGGGGTTCTGCGGGGGGTCTGCTCGGGGTGGTGCCTAAGGTGGTGTCCAGTAGCCCCAAGCCACTGGGACCAGGGAAGCTGGGGTTCAGCTTGCTAGCGCAAGCGGGCCTCATCGGTATCCAGGTAATTCGGCGTCAAAGAAGACGCGAAGCGCCAGGCTGTCACCAAAGGCTTGACTTGAGACGGAGATTAGGGCGTGATGCAGCAGCGAAGAATGGCAGGCAACAAGACACGTCCATACACATCTACACTTGAAACCTGGCTGTGCAGGATGTTGAAGGGATGTCGTGGTACACCCGGAACCATCCCCCAGAAGACGTTTGGCCTTGGCACAAGTGAAGAAGATTTCCTGGTCGGGGAAGTCTGCCGGCAATTCACGTGCGGTTGCAGGATTAGTAGGCCGCCCTTGATATGGAAGGGTCCCGCGTGAAAACTCGACTTTGAACAAGAGCCACATGAGGCCTGGATCTGAACTGGAGGTTCAAAGAGACATCATAAGCACTGGAATGGGGGATACCTCAGCAGCGCGTGCTGCGTGCGATTCGAGGTCTTTCCGCAAAAGGTCGCAACTTTCCACTACCTTCCTATCAGACGAAATGTTGTGTACATGGAAACCAAAAGGACCATGGTTTTCTATTTCGACATGGTCCCCTTTCAAGGGACACCAAAAGGAGCTTACTCAAACATACAGCATGGCTGTTTCAGCAAGACAGCCAAGCCCTGGCTTGAACAATTGTTCTGATTGTATAGTGAGCTCAGAGGTATAACCAGCTCACCATGATAAAGATCCTTTGCTTGGAGATCCCGTAACATTTGCAGAGATGTTTACCCTCCCTCCCCCTAACATGGCGCTTGACAGAAGGTCCCTTGAGGAAACTCATCTTCCAGCTACCCTCGGACAAATGCCTTCGGTTTGTGGGAGGAGGGCTTGGTTTTTAGCTTAGTGTTTCGTGGCTGGATGTCCATTTCACCCGCCAACGGGAAGCCACTTTCCCGGCCTCATGATTTTGCCCTGATCAAAGTCACCGCCTAAGTGGCGGGTTAAAGGGACACAACCCCCATTTTCTTACCTCTGAGAACTCAACCAGAAACCGTCAAAAGACCGACCCCAGCTTTCGCCGGCGTCTGAAACCGGCCGCCGGCGCCCCCTGAGCTGCGCGCAGCGGCAGGGCGCGATGTCCATCACCGCGGGCGTGAGCACCTGCGGCTACGGAGCTCCCTGGCCAGCAGAATCGAGGGCTCGAGGGGTTGGCGGGGTGCAGCGGTGTGCTTTTTTGGTTGCTCGAAAAATGGATGGGTTGCGATTCCTGGTTTACCTGGTGGTTTAACCATCTACCAGGGCCATCTATTGCCCCTGAAAGGACACCTATGGTTGTGGGTGGGGTGCAGTGGTTTGTGGACATCAAAATGCGGTGGGGTTCATGTCCACCAACCCTTGAGGTGGTTCCCCAATGGCAAAAGTGGGCAAGTGGAAGAGAAAACCTTGATTTCCACAACCCTGACACTTGGGTAGAAGTCTTTATTTGGAATCCTTTGGTGGTCTTCAGTTTGACTTCTGTCTACAAACTGCTTAAATGGGGTCCCTGAACCTGGAAAGTCATCCACACCGCCTGATCAGCGTTCCTTGAGGGGAAACCCGAAGAACAGGGTCACTTGTTGATGTCCCCAGGAAACCCAAAGGGGACAGATGATAAGTTTATCCGTTTTGCCAGACCCTCTACTTGGTGTTTATTTAAGGGTACCCTTTCCAGGGGTGGCTTTCAAGGGAAACCAAAGGGAACACTTGTATTTCGGGGGTCTTCTATGTTGACACACGCCAGTTTGCTGAGTCCATTCAAGCGGCATGTTGAGAAATCTATTTACTCTTGGGGGTTCCCTTCAAACCACAGTCACGCCCCCGACCTCCAGCGGGGCATGCCCTATTGTCCTTTCTCTTGTGGTTCCCTTTCACCACCTTCCTGGTTTTGCCCTTTTCCCACCCCACCATTTTCGCATCATCCAGGGCTGGACCCCCCAATTTTTGTCGAGCAGGATTCTGAGAAGATCCGCGGATTCGAACATGCGCGCCGCAGGGCGTCCCGGCCAAGATCGAGGCCCCGCCCTCGAGCGAGCGAGCGATTTGAAGTTGGGCTGGGGACATCGCAGCGAAAGGTGCCAATTTAGGTGCCGCCTTTTTAAGGGGGGGAGCGCCCAAAAAGGCCCCTAGGTTTTAGAGTTCAGGATCAGAAAGGGCGTTTTGTTTTTGTAAAGTAAAAAATCAAGCTGGACATTGAGCTAGTCGCTAGGCCTGCACTGCGAACATTGGGGCCACCCTGGCCACACTGGCCGGTGCTGCCGCCTTCTTGACAGAGGAGGGAGCTTCTTGCACTGTGTAGTCGGCGCAGATCTACCCCATGCAAGCGGGACTTGAGACGACCACAAGGAACAGACTAGAGACTGGGTGAACTGATCATGGGACCGAATACGGGTGAACTGAAGATCACGGTCCGCAATTGTTTGCTTCCATCCAGCCGGGCTCGCCACTCGCTCGCCACTCTTCCAACTCGCGCACAAGCGCGAGGTGTCCATCCAATGCCCCCATACGCTGGACCACAGAGATGCGGACTGCGCCAGCTCCATTGAGACCTTAATCAGTGGACTGAATCCTGACCGCAGGGGCCAGGGGGGGGGTGGCAGGCAGGCAGGCTGCGCAAGATGCATGCCACATCGATGGTGGCTTCAAGAAGTAGCCTTCCCATCAATATGAATATGGGCTTGTCCTATTCTTGAGTTGGTATCCCTTTTTGTGGGTTTTATAGAACAACCAAAAGGAACACATGTTTCCCTTTTTTTAGGGGGGGTGTCCACTACAACAGACACACCCATATGTTGCCACACACTGAACAGTTGGTACAGCGATTTGAACCGTTTTGTCATATACAGTTCTTGCCCCTTGTTGTAACAATTGGTGAGTCTTTGACAAGCTGGGCCTGAGTTCCTGAGTTTGAAGCACTTCAAAGCAAAGCTCTCAAAGGCTCCCATGCTTGGGCAAGATCTAAGCAACCGACCCTGGTCGATGGGTGCCCTGAACACAGGGACGAGCCGAACGCATTTCTCCTTTTCGCAACCCAATTCTGGGTTTAAGTCTAGCTTGCTGGGCAGAAAGGTTCTCGCCGAACCCTAGGAGCCTTTTGCAGGGAGCTAAGAACCCTTAGGTTGTGTGGCGCCTAGGGTTTTGTCCCAAAATGTGAGGGCCCGAAACCCTCATTACTGACTTTAGTCAGTGGTTTTAGTGCCCTGGTTCATCTGAGAAGGCTTCTATGGGCGTGTGGTTTTGGAGGGTACCCTTTTTGAGGTGGTTCTAAGCGAAACCAAAAGGAAAGCCACTATTCTCGGCCTGATTGACACACCCAAGCACATCCATATAAATCCTTAGATTTTGTTAACCGTCTTGGTAGAACCCTAGGGGTTGATTCCCCCTCGTTCTTGTTGAAAAGCTGTTTCCCCTGCGCTTTTGGATGGTTTCCTGAAACGAAGGATCCCTGGAAAGAATGGAAATGGAAGGTGCCCCTGGAAGAACCAAGCGTCAATGAGTTTTGGGTTCCCGCTGGGCCTAGGGGCGGGGTGGCCGCCCACGCCGCCGGGGCAGCCCAGTCCTGCGGTAACGCCGGAGTCTCAGACGCGGAAGCCAAGTTTGGGCGGTGCGACAAATCGCGCAGAAGGCTGTGCGCCTGCGCCGAAGGCTGTGCATGTGCATGCGTGTGGTGTGTGTGGTGGGTATATGTATATACACATGTACATGCACATGTGTGTTTGTGTGTGTGTGTGCGCGCGTGTGTTTGTTTTGAGGATACCCAATTGTCTAGGTTGAGAGGGAAACTAAAAGGACAGCCACCAAATTTTTGGCGGTGCCCCGAAATTTACACATACCGAAGTTATTTTGCAGCGTTGGGCGAATCAAGAAAGTAGGCATCTGCCCTATTTTGTAGCACGAGGTCACTATGATATAGGTCCTTTACACGGGGATCCCGTATTACAGGTTTTGGAATTGGTGCAACGAACATGCAGAAGCATGAAGTTTGCCAAGTTGCCAAGGCAATGATTTTGGAACAGTTCAAAGGCTCCCAAAGGGCTGACACGTATGCTCGCCTTTTTTGTGCTGATTGTTCCGGCTTCGCAAGATTCCAAACGGGGCGACGATCTTCAACCCCGTCAGTGTCAATGACGAGACAGGTCTATGACTCAGGAGGTGAATACTGTGGATGGACGAAATCCTGTACCAGTTGGAAGGTGGTTTACCCCAGTCAGTGTTCATTCATTCCAACTGACTCGTTTCTTCCGTCCACAGAAGCACATTGCGCTGATATGACTTGTATGTGCCTTCTGAGTTTGTTGTGTGCTGAGGGACTTGCATGGCTAAAGATGGTCCATTAGCAGCATGTGCTGCTTACATGCCATTGCCATCAAAGCACTCACGCAGGAATGGCAAATTGTATCTTGAACACGAACCAGGCGCTGGGATATGTGTTGTGCTTGGCAACCCTACCAGAAATGAGCGAATGTAAGACTCATCTGAAAGCCGATCTGATCCCTAGGCATGCTACCGTACACACGAAAGGATGCGTGCGCATGGCATGCTCACTATGAGCGCTACCCTCGTAGTCACAGAAGCTAAGCTTTCAGCGCAGAGAGAAAGGGCCGGCGAGTTCTCAACCTTTGGAAAGCCCTCGGCGTGTGGATCGGATTTTTTTCTGTGCAGCTCACTCGTCACGACTCGCGAAGCGCACCAGGTGATCCAAGCGCAATCGACTAGACGACATGAAGGACATGTTTTTTCGCAGCGGTGCCGGCGCTGACATTGACAATCTCAACAGTAACTCACGTGAGTGTTGAGCGCGGGTAGGGGGACCGCCAGTCAGCATGCAGCACTCTGATCAAACACGTCCATCAAGGGCTTTGGGAGCTTCCGCAAGGCTGCAATGCATCCAACCTAGCGATCAGCAACCCCCTCAGTGCAGACCTGGGAAAGCTTGCCGGATTGGCAGTACGCCCATGACTTTTGGCAAGATAAGCCATAATCAGGGGACCCGTTCAACGGGTTCTAATAAGAAGGGCTCCAGCTTGCATCAAAGAATGTGTGTGGTATCCGAAAGGAACCCTAATATGCTAGCAGCTGTAAGTAACCCATTTAGCGCAACCCAAACGAGAGATTCAGTGCAATCTCTCGTGTCAAAAGACCGCCCCAGAGGTTCTATGAACCCGTAAGAAGGTTCTAGAAGGTTCTATGACCTCTGTGGCTCTTTTCCTCCATTTTCTCTCCCGCGCACCGATTCAAGCCAGAAAGCCAGGCGGCTTTCTTCGCAGCGCGCGCGGGAATCCAGACGGACGGCCTTGCCAACGGGGCTTGTGGCAGAGACAAAAGCGCCGCCGCAGCTCGGCGAGAAGGGCCCGGGTCGGATTCTCCGCGTGTTCGTTTTGTCCAACGCACCGATCGCTTTGTTGCCTAGTGTCGTTCACTTGGGTTCCTTGCCCCAAACCGAGCTTCAACCTGCCCAAGATCAAGTGTAAACAAATTCAACCTGCCCAACGCCTTAACCCCTGCAAATCCCAAGCGACTGGGAAACAATCAGCACCGGGTAGCTTCCTGTTGGATGGTGTTTGCGAGGAACCCAAACATACCGTGCTAGTCTCAGGGATTTCTGACTTCGAAAAGCAGAAGTTTCTTTGGCGGAGGTCGTCCGGGTGTCTTGTGAAGCCTCAGAGTGGCATATATCTGCCATTCAATTGGCAAACAAACAAGGCACACGGGTCGCCGATTTCACAGCGAAAAGCGAGATGGATTTCTTATGCTTCGGCTATGAGACGACTCGGCGTGTTGCCGGTTTGGACAGTATGCTTCAAATCAAACCGTTGGCCCCGCATTTTCGCGGAAGAGCACCCTTGACGAACCCGAAACCAACTGAAAGCCCAGTAAAGCTTTGCTCGGCCAGTCGAAATTCCAACACCCATCTCAAATCCTAAGCCCATGCTTCAGCTAACCCTGAGCCTACCAGAACCGACCCCGCACTTTTCGTGGCTTTTGCCATGCCACGTAGCTTGACCAGCCTTATGGCTGCGGCAAACTTTGTAGGACTGAAGTGAGGCAGGGGTAGATGCGAATCCCACTTAGCACAGAAAGGCTGATTTTCCACGACCTGTTTCTCTTTGGCTGCATCTGGAGGAGGTTGGCATGGCCTAAACGTTACCTCCTCGCGAGCCTTGACAGCTTTGCATCCAACAAAACGTTTAGTGGGTGTGTCGGTTCCTTCCTGATATGGCTTATGGTAAGGTCCAACATAATCTTTACCAGCACTATCCCAGTAAAACCAAATCAATTGGCTTTGGCACTTCTCACCCCGCACGTCTCGCACTCTAAGGACTGCTCCATGTCTGTGACCGGCGCACTGACCTCCTTTGCTTCGCTCGGGCACGCCTCCGCCGGCTTTTGACAGACTCGGATGCAGCAATTGGTTGGCCGATTGGACTGGGTCATGTTGACCCCACGTGAATCAACCCTAGTTTATTCGTAGGGGGGTGTCCAATTCTGGGTTTAGTGGTTGGAATCAGACCATTAAATCCTTGGACTTGAGGCGAGCCCACGTTTTTCTTTTTGTGCGCTCGGCGTTTCGGGCATGGGAGCCATCCAGGAAGCAGAGAAGTCGGATCTGAACGTGGAGCTTCGAGCTTGGGCTTTGTGAAGAGAAACCGACTTCCGAGACCTAGTTTCTAATTGTGTCCTATGTCATTCTTTACATCAAACAAAAGGTGTATATATATATATATATGTATACACATATCCGAGGTCTCCTCTGATACTATTTCATTTATTTAAGGCTGACTCAAACCTACAAGCCCGGAATGATGCCTGGCTGTGTACCCCTGTATAAGCCTTTTGTAGCTACTTGGGGTATGTCCATTGGGGAAGGACTTTAGAATGGCCCATGCGGCACTTTCGGAGCTTCGCAGGTCCTTCCTTGCGGGCGCCATCTCCAAGTGTACCGTCTACAAGATCTACAGCCCCGCGTGTAGCGCGAACGTGCTAGGCGAGGACAAATGTTAGGGTCACTTTCTGACAGGTTCCCTGCGGCCCTTTTGGTGAAACAAGTAGAAGTATCACCTTTTGGGCCAATGGGTGAGTTTCCTGGGTGATGTTCAAAGAGGAAATATCGGTTGTAACTTTTTGTGAGTGCTCCTTCAAAGTGATAAAGCAGTCTGGGAATGACCCAAAATGGCATCACAGAAATTGTGTTTTTTCCACAGATGCGGGCGAGGAAATCCAATTGTCAATGAGGAACTCAATTGCCAAAAGGAAAGTCGGGGTTCTGACCAAATTCCTGTCTGATAGTGGAAGGGTGAAGTGGCTAGGATTTGCCCCTGAAACGGGGGGTAGGTTTAATCCTGCTTTGGGCACTTATGCGGGACGGTCAAAGCAGGGAACCCCTTTATTTGGACGTGAACAAACTGGCAAATCACGTCCACAGGTCAGTCACAGGTCCCATGAACCATCGAGTTGGACTCATTCCGAAAAAGCGGGGCATTGGGATCGGATAATGCGGCAAGGGACTTGGGGTGGCGGCGTGACACTCGCGAATTTTCAAGCTCTCTCTCTCTCTCTCTCTCTCTCTCTCTCTCTCTTTGTGGTCACATTTTGATACATGACTCCGCAGCGTCCTACAGTCCGCTGACCATTCAGCTTACAAATTATCCGCCACACTGGCAAGACCCTCTTGATAGGTTCGATGGCATCATGTGGTAGGCCCGGGGATGTGGGTTTTCCTCCAAATGCGACAAGTCGACATGGGGGCCGGTTTGCCTTCCCGTTTCCCCTGTGAAAATACCCCAAACAAACACCCTGGCAGATTAAATGCAGGGACACATTTGCCGCTCTAAACCTGGACGGAGCCAGGTTTGGTTGCAGACGTGAACAAAGTCGCCAACTTTGGAAGTGTAACTTACCGGCACTGGGACAGCTGATCCAAGGACATTGCATTCAAAGGCTGAATGTATACGTCCATATATGAACCCCTTGCATGAACCCCCTACTTTATGGCTTAATTGACAGTTAGTTATGGCTTAATCATGGGAAATCAGCCCCCATAGGAGGGTCTAACACCTACCAAAGGCCAGGCCCCAGTTGGATAAAATCCCCTCAACCGACCAATTCACATAATATTTTTTCATCATTTCATAACAGAACCTCAACTCAAGATTTGATACATAAATTTTGAAAATATTTTTCTAAATTTTCAAAAATATTATTTTACAAAATTATCATTTTTCCCAAGAAATATAAATCATAAATTTTACAATATTCTTATTGTAAAGTTTATGGTTAAAATTTAAATCATATTATTTCATAATTTGAATAATTGCAGAATTCCTCACGGAATATGCTGAAATGAAATAATTTTCCAGAAAGGGTAATTCACCTACAATTTGAAAAACTTTGTCCTTCACTTCCTCCATTTCTTTTTTGACCTCTGGTGCTACTGGAGGTTTTGAATTTTCAATTTCATTAGGTTTTTCTTCCTCAACTGTTGTTTTTACTTTATTCTCATTCTCAATATGCTTCTGTGTTTTCAAATGCTTGGACATTGCAGATTTCCTCACTTTACACTGGCAAATATCACATTCTATTTCAATCTGATTACGCACTTTATTATATTCCTTTTTCTTTTCCTTCCTATCAATTTTACTTTGTTCTCGGCAGTAATCACAAATATGCACTCTAACATTAAATAGGTCAGGTGGATAAGTGTTTTCACATCGCCTACATTGTTGCATTTTGTCAGTCATCTCCATGCTACTATTGATAGGTGGCATGTCTTTAAGACCAGACCATCTTAAAAATCCCAAATTCCCAAAATATATTTTCCCAAAATCCCAAATTCCCAAATCCCAAAATCCCAAATTCCCAAAATATATTTTTCCAAAATCCCAAATCCCAAAATCCCCATAATTTCAAAACATAAATCTTACAATGTTTTTTTATTGTAAGGTTTATGGTGTAATTTATAATTTAAGTTCGGGATAATAATTTAATTGACAAATCTCATTTATTTCATACATCATTTTAAAAATAATATTAATATCTCTCACTGTGTTTTTAACATTAAACTTTTTATAAATTTCAATATAAAACTTGATATATTCTTTAATATCATCTCCTTTCTTTTGACTATGACACAACATCCTTAATATATCATAAATCATTTCATATTTTTTCTTACTGATTTTAAGAAACTGTTTAACATAAACGTAAGGTGGTAATTTATACACAGTTAAAAATATCAAAATGTCATCTTCTACATTTCTATTATGTCTTCCTTTTAATCTCAACAAACATTTGATTATAGCTTGGTTATCTCTCCAGGTTTTACAATTTTCGCATAAATCTTCTTCACCCAAAGCATAATCAATAATATTATTTATTATTCCATTAGGTAAATTTAATTTATACAATTCCATATTTTCTTTTTTAAAGTGGCAACAGTCGTAGCATTTCTTATTAATATACTTATTGATTTCAATACCGTTCATTTCTTCACTATTAATATAAGGTGTTTTTTCTTTAGGACTATTTCGCCTAAAACTAAATTATTAATTTAATTCTTTCTATTATTTTGTCACACGTTGTTTCATTATAAAAATTATTTTTTATTTGTTTTCTAAACATTCCCATTATTCCAATCGCACGTTTTATTGTATATCTAAGTTCGTGAGTTTTATACTCATCATTTAAAAACTCATTTAAAAAATCAAACAATACAACGTATTTTAAACGTTTAATATTAAAAGACATATTGTATAATTGTTTTACAATACTATAATACTTAAAAATAAAATCATTATTATATCCTTCGTCGTTACATTCTAATAAATTATCAAATCCTTCTATAGTTAAGAAATTATTCATTTCAATAAATACAAATATTTCTAAATCATCATCAATAGTTTCATTATTTATAATATCAATATCCTTGTTATTCATATCATCAATTGCTTTTATAATTCTATTGCAATTATTGCATATTATATATTGACAAATATTATTACAAACACCATTTGCAAAACCCCGTTCAATTGGTAATTTGAGCATTTCACAGTCATCACATTTATAACTCATAAATTTGTCTTTCAATATATTTTTAGCATTGATACCGACTGTATCACTCATTTTACTATAATATATTAAGTTATTATTTCTTCAAGTCATTTTGAAATCATAAATCTTACAATGTTTTTTATTGTAAGGTTTATGGATTAAAATAATGGTCAGGCAATATGTCTTCAAATATGTAATCTACATATTTATCTATATCACCAATGTATATATATTTGATATTGTTTTTTCCTATTATTGAATAAATATATTCCCAAAAGAATAAATACAACAATAGACATACTTTATATTTAGTGTTGTAGTAATACCATATACTATATTTAGTTGCTCTAAATTCGTTCAAGACTTCGTTTATTTTATCTTTGTCTAATAAATGCCAGTCAATCCATTCAAACAAATAACGGTATTTTTTGACAAATGCTTTGTATGGTTTAATTGCGTTTATTCCTCCAAACCTCCTAATTAAATCTATATTACTAAAGAATTCATCAATTTCATTTTCATATGACTTTCTGGAAATCTTCTGGTAAAAGTGTATAGGAAATCTTGCTTGGTGTCGCATAAAGAATTTTAACTGTAATTGAAACTTTGTATATCCCTTGTCCTTATGTTCTTCAAGAAAAAACTTTTCAAGGTCTCTTGTTATACAGCATTGATTGCAGTATACATTATATTCACTTATTTTATTACATAGATTAGCAGGTAATAACTTATACAATGTTATATTAACATCATTCCTTTTAGTTGTACAACATTCGCAATTTGAATAATTAAATAACATTTCACTAATAATATAAGGCGTTTTTTCTTTAACTGTATTTCGTTTAATATTAAACTTTCAATAATTCGTGTCTCAAATAAGGACTAGTTTTTCCTTCCAAATGAAAGTAAGATTGCCCTAATTTACTATCAATTGATTTTACTTTAAATACTTCTTTTAACCAATGACTGGTATGTGCCTTTTCGCTTATGCCTTTCTTTCTCATTATTTTTACATTACTACCCACTGACAACTCAGGGTATTTTCTAGTATTTCTTGCTTGCATTGTAATATTCATTTTTACTTCAAATTCATTCTTTTTCATTCTTGCGTCCTTCGGTGTAAATTTAGTTGCGGAATGAATATTCTTATTATTGTAAGTTAATAATATTTCAAAAATATAATCCGTCCATTGGATATTCTGCTTTCCATTTTTCTTGTCCGCTTCAACTCGTTTAAACAGTTGATCTTTAAAAGTCTGAATTCCACGCTCCGCAAATGCTGGATGACCTCTAGTTCTATGTAATTCAATTTTCTCCTCCTTCAAATAATCTAATACTGATTGA